GGTTAAAACAATGAATTCTGAATTATCAGTTTGAGACCTGTATGTTAGCTCTCCTTGATAGCAGCACTTTAAAATTGCTATAGAAGACGGGCTTCCCTGGTGGCGCAGTGGTTGAAAGTCCGCCTGTCGATGCAGGGGACGCGGGTTCGTGCCCCCGTCTGGGAGGATCCCACATGCCGCGGAGCGGCTGGGCCCGTGAGCCGTGGCCGCTGGGCCTGCGCGTCCGGAGCCTGTGCTCCGCGGCGGGAGAGGCCACAACAGTGAGGCCCGCGTACCGCCAAATAAATAAATAAATAAATAGAATTGCTATAGAAGAGATTAAAAGGAGTGAATGGTGGAACTTCAGGGACTTTGATATCAGTCAGTGTGAGAGGTCTCTGTGCAAGAGGGTCTTACTGGTGCTCTGACCATAAACTCCACACACTCCATAAGAACTGAGCTGCTCTTAAACTTGCCAAGATGTGTGTTCCCTCGGTGCAGAACATCAAACAGCCTAACAGCTTAAGTAAAGGGTGCAAAATTCATCATGTAAATCTGTTTTTAACAAACACAATTGAATGATGTTTTTACTAGTATAGCTCAAAGAAAGCCAAGTGAGATAAACTATAAAACCATACTCCATGGAGTCTTAACTCGGATGTGGCTAAGTATAAAAAGCAAAACTGACCAGATGTTACATTTAGCAGAGGTAAAATGCCTCAAGCAATATACATGTCCAATAAAAACTTCAAATCCCTTTGGAAGTGAAAAACAGCTTCAGACTTCAGTGAGTGGTAGCTTTAGTGCATGGTTGGGGGGCGGTTGTGTGCAAAGCACCTCCATGCGCACACTCTGGAGAAAGAATTTTTTCAGGGTTTTCCCTCCTTGGGTGTACATGTTGTAAACAACAGATAAGTTGTGTGTGTGTTTTTTAAGCAAAAATCTGTGGAGTGGAGAAATCTAGTTTGCCCTTATCTGTGTCAGCTTCTTGCATGAGATGGGGCTAAAGACATTTCCGGGAAAAAGAAGAAAGGTAGGACGTTTTAAGCATATGAACACATAAAAATTCAAGAGTCTTTTAAAAAGGAGACAAAAGATAGAAATGTTGATAAGAAAGGAAGTGAGCAGGATGAAGTTTGGGCACAAAATGACCAAAACACCTTGTGAACATGTTTAATGGGACCCCAGAGTGCCAGGGCATTGGTAATGCCATCGGGACATTAATGGTAACACTCACCTTGTAAGGAATTTTTGGTGGTGGTGGTTAAATTTTTATATACCTCCCTTTGGAACTGATGGAGTGTATGGCTATGCCTGGGAAAGCTGGTGAGACAGTTAAAGTGCTAATGGCAATGCCAGAGCCTGAGGACTGGACTAGCAAGTGCTTAAATGGTTTCATAATAAATCTTTGGGATGACAGGCACATGCATTTGAGTGCTAGTCACACTGATCTGAGCCTCACGGCAATTGTAGTGTTTATTATTTCCCTATATCATTACCCGAACCCCCTCTATCCGCGACAAAACACCTACTACTTTAGGTACATCGAATTTTCCCAAACCGACTTTGAAAAGTTACATTTTTAAACAGTACGTACAAGCCGAAGTACGCTGATACCAACGTAAAATGGCAATCCAAAGGGAATTCCCTGTTTTCTAATCCCACGGTTTCCTTGTTGAGAACCGTCCCTGCATATGCAGATTAGGGAGCCAGGGAAGACCGTTTCATTGATTAGAAAATCAACTTTTACAGTTCTTTTCCTGAGTTATTACGCTACCCTGTACTGTATGGATCTTAATGGGAAAGAACGTTAGGTACTAAATTTTCCGCTCTCTGGGTTTCTAATTATTCCAACCGCCTTCAAAGAAGTGTAGTTCTTGTGCTGTGGCTAAATTCAGAAGCGGGAAATGCCAACCCCTCTAAAGGCAGACGGATCGCCAAAACCAGGGACTGAACCAGAGTAGAGAAGGGTTAAGTGAAAAGAGTGCCCTTCCGAGAAACCGAAACCGCATCGCCCAAGCTAACGGGCGCCACCCGGGAAGCGCCGGGTGGAAGGTACGAGGATACACAGACCCCGCCCGGGCGTCCCCACATCCCGGAGCGCCCTCTCGCGCCCCCGCGCGCCCGACCGGGGAGGCAAGCCTCGCGCGCTCCCTCCGCTCCCGCGGGCTGGGGGTGCGGCCGCCGGCGCGCGCGGGGGCGGGGCCGGCTAGGGGGCGCGCGCGCGGGGCCGCGGGCAGGGGGGCGGGGCGGCAGAGCTCGGCGGCTGGGCCTGGAGGACAGCGGCGGCGGAGGCGACGAGCGGCAGCGGGAGCGGCGCCGAGAATCCTTGCGGGACGCGGGCGACAGGAAGCGGGGAGCGCAGAGGTAACTCAGGACGGAAAAGGCGGGTGGGGAGTGGGTGCGAACCCCCTGGACCCCGAGGGCGAGTGGCGGAGGCCGCTTGCCCGGGGCGCCGACGCCGCTACCCGAGAGGAGGGGGCGGGGCGCTCGCGTCCCCGGAGGTGGTGCCTTTTGTCTGCCTTCCCCGACCGCTCCGCCCCCTTCCCTCCCCCCACTGCGACCTAGCCCCCTGCCCCTCTCCTGGAAGCCTCCTCCGGGACCCTCTCGCGCGCGCGCTCCCGCCCTTGTTTTGTTTGGACTGAGGAGGTTGGGGAGCTCTTCCCTGATCTAGGGCCCTGCGTCCCAGCGCGCCTGCGCCAGCGTCCTCCCGCCCGCTCCGATTGGCTGAGGTCTTGCGCATGCTCCCGAGGCCCGCGGTGGGCCTCGCTGTCCGCTCCCGCCCTCCCCCTCACCCTACTCTCAGCGGTTTTCGGAGCCGGTTCGAAAGATGCCGGCGGCGGTGACTGGCTGTGGCGAACCCGCCCCCCGGGTTCTCCGCCCCCGCCGCCGCCATTACGGAGCTCCCAGCGGTGAGTTCGCCGAGCGCTGGGACTCGCGGTCCGCCGCCTCCTCCGTCGCGCGGGCGGGCGCCGCTCGGGTCGCGGCGTCGGCCTCCCTGCGCGCATCCCGGAGCGGGAGCCCGAGCTGTCAGCTGCAATGAGCGCGCAGCTCGGTGTCCGCCGCCGCTGAGCTCGCCGCCCTTTGCCTCGCCGCCTTCATCCTGGCTCCGCTCTCCCCCCCGCCTTGTGCTCGGCGCCGCACCGGCCGCTCCCCGCCTTTGTCTCTGCTGGTCTTTCTAACCGGTTCCCTCGGCGGTCTGGGCTCGGTGTCAGCTGTTGGCACCCCTGAAAAGCCTTTGCTGCTGCTGCCGCTGCCGCCGCGACGCGGGCCTAAGCTTTCGTTTTCCCGTATGGCTTTCCTAGAGCTTGTTAGTCACTGCTTCTTAGGTGATGTGATTTTAGCTAATAAAGTCAAACGTGTGAATAGGGGCGTTTGTAAAGAGTTGGAGGCAGGAGTGGTGAAGTGAGAGGCCCAGATTTGAGATTTTGATACCGAATTGACCAATGTCTGTGACCGAGGACGAGTCACTTAACCACTTTGAGGGAGTGTTCACCCCTGCACAGAGGACGGCCAAGGTGAACTTTACCGCCCTTTCTGCGTATACATTTTCTCTCTGTTGTTTATCATGCTTCCCGACTTTATGTTACATTGAAAAGTGAGAATTTAGTTAAAAGTACAGCTAGGAATTCACCTGGGACTTTATGGACAAAGCTGGCCTGTCTTAGAGTGAAGTTACACGTGTCTAGTTTTATTTTGGAAGATGGTTTAGTTTTGTTTAATCTGGCATAGGCATAAAACTGTTAAGAGCTTTTAAAATTCTTATTGCTCTTTTTAAAAGTTTAGTGTAATGTGTTTCAAAGTAGAAGTAACATTTTTAGAGGTTATTTTTGGCCTTGTTTTTAAGCTTAATTGGAAGATTGAGGGCGAGAACTTGGAGAAAGTGTCCTGAACTCTTCGTGTATAGATAAAAATCCTAACTCTTTAGCCAGTTAGATTGTGCGTGCCTTAGGAATAGATCCCTGTAGTGTCCATAGCATCTGTGCCCAATATAGACACTGATAAATTGAAACACAAAAGTGAAAAAGAAGTTGCTAGCTAATTACACGCATGCTTTTTGTGACATTACCTGTTAAGTCTGAATATAAAGATTTTAGATTGAGAACAACTTGATGTAATCAGTGCATAGCTAATGATATTATAACGTATAATGTCTTGTGTACATTTTATGGTAAAATATGAAATAATACTTTCCCTAAAGTGCGTACTTTCAAGGATATCAGTAAACTGAAATACATTGTTGAACTACTTAGTTTTCTAGTGCTTTCTCAATGTAGAGAAAGTAAATTAAAACTCTGAAATTACGGACTTAATACTTTTACAACCTTTTCTTTATTGCCTGCATTTAAACAACTTAGCACTTCCCTTGGCGAAAGCAACTCTTTGTTATGTTAATCTCACATTAAATTTTAAAAACAGGTTGATGACCACAGAAAGACCACATAAAACCACAGGTAAACTCAGATGGCACATATAAGAACCCAGATGAAAAACTTATTCAAGTTTCGTCTGTTCGTTCTTTCACTTAATAAATATTAAGCACCTGTTCTGTGCCTGGCATGTTTCTTAGGCACCAAGTATGCAGCAGTGAACCAGCCAGATAAGATTCCTGCGAGGAAACAAGTGTGGCGGCCTAAAAGTCTGATCATTCAGAAATGTAGCAACAAAAGTTAAATTAATGAGTACCTGTGATGTTAAGGTAGTATGAATTAACCATTCATATAGTTTTGTTAGCTTTGTGATGAACAGTGAACTTATGGAATAACTCATTAACCGACCTATTATAAAGAAAGTGCTATAGGGCTTCCCTTGGTGGCGCAGTGGTTGAGAGTCCGCCTGCCGATGCAGGGGACCTGGGTTCATGCCCCGGTCCGGGAAGATCCCACATGCCGCGGAGCGGCTGGGCCCATGAGCCATGGCCGCTGAGCCTGCGCGTCCAGAGCCTGTGCTCCGCAACGGGAGAGGCCAAAAGAAAAGAAAGTGCTATAGACTGAAGCCTTAATCTTCATGACCTTTATTAAGGAAATACAGAGCTGAGGCAAACGTTTCTTAATATTTATATTAAATTTTAAATATTTAGTTTTATTTTTTTAAGTGTTCTTCACACTTGCTGAATATAGTAATAAGTACTGTCAGGTGTCATTGTTCATTCAACTTTTTTCCCCAATATTTATCCAGCACCCAGTATGTGCTGGGCATCCTTCTAGGTGCTGGGAATACAGTGATGAATTAGTCCTAGCCCTTGTAATGCTTACATTTCACTGGAAGAGACACATAATAAAAAAGTAAATAGACGTATGTTGAATTACAGGTGGTGTTAAATGCTATTACAAATGCCATATAAAGAAAACTGAAAAAGAATAAGAAGGATGGGAAGGCTTTCTGAGGGGGTGACACTGAGCACAAATCTAATTGAAGTGTCTAGGAAAAGAATGTTGCAGTGTAAAAGAAGAGCATGTGCAAAGCACACACTGAGGACCAAAAGAAGACCTGTGTGTTTGGAGTCAAGAGAGTAGAGTGATGGGTGGAGTAGTAAGGGGTGAGATTACTGAAATAAGGGGGTGTGGTGATGGGGAGGTTTTAAGCAGGAAAGTGTCAGGCTCTGTTTTTTTTGGTGGATGCAGCCAGGAAGATTGGCAAACCAACTTATTTCTCAGTTATTCCACCCTAGGCATACTTCTTACCTGTCCTAATTTAAACTAACACTCTTGTCCTCAGGTTAATGATGTCTCATGTCTTTATGGACCATGTACTTGTTGCCCTGACTTCAGTCAATTTTGTCATCTTGGCGTTGAGAGTAGTTTCCTTTGCACCCCCACTCCTTTTCTAAAACCTGTTTGTTTCAATTTTGAGCAATTAGTAAATATAGAGTTGACTGGTAGGGTTTTGACTTTTTTTTTTAGTATTTTACTTACAGGGAAAATATTTTTTAAAGATCCTCTATGAACAGACTGCTGAAGGTTTTGCTGACTTCACAGTATCATTTTCAACCTAGCTAGTATTATCATGGGTTAAGAAAGATGAATTCATTAGCTGTATCACTTCACCAAGAATAACCTGATCGTGAAGTTTTACTTCTGTATGGTATTTACATGTAAAAGTATCATCAGATTTGCTTTTTTTTAATCAAGGAAAATGTATTACTATGTAAGTTCTAGTTGGGTGAGGGAGCAAGTTTATGTATTGAAATTATTCCAAGATAGACTTTTGGCTTTCACAAACCTAAATAATGCCCTTAAACCCAACTTTTCACAAATGAGAAAACTTTTTATTTTTGTGTTTTATAGTTGTTGAAGTGAACTGCTATATGAGCATTTTAAGTAGTTTTTGTAACAGTTAATAATTTTTAAATATTCGTGGATATTCCTAATTTACTCTTGAATAATAAGTTTTTAGCATATTATATGATCTTGAATTCTTTCAGCTGCCTTTCATTGCAGCTGACGGATAGTTCACAAGTCTGGCATTGCTCTTGGTGTTCCCATAAAATGGTTTTCCCTGTAAACGTGAAAGCGTTCTGTATGTTTGGAGCTTCAAACTATTACCTGACAAATTGAAAGCTCTTAAATTCCTAGACAGGGTTAGAGCTTAAAGTAGAAGCTGAATGACTAGTCTGCTCTTTCCCAAGTCTTCATTAATGTTCAGTAGCACAAAGATCTAAACGCCTAACTGATTATTTTCTTAAATTTTGGAAGAGTTTTTATATAAAATGTTATTGAGTCCCAGATGAGGATGGGCGGGGCAGAGGGTGTTAATGATCAGGTAAATTTGAGTGATTTACATGCGTTTTATTTTTAAATCTTTAATTTTGTTCTTTTGTGCTGATTTTACTTAACATTAGAAATATGACAAATAAGGTCTTAGAGGCATACTTATTCTCCTAGGTGATGGTCTGAATTTGCTTTTCTGAGTCTGGAGGCTCTTAGACTGCCATGTTCTTCAGCAGTATTTTTGCCCTTGTATTACTTCTCTGATGGAGATGGAGTTAAGGTTACAGTTAAGTTTCCTGACCCCTTTGAGAACAGTAACAACAATAGCCTCTCTCTTTAGTAAACTGATCTTTGAGTAAACATTGACTAAACTATTTCTAGGTCTCCTTATTCTGTCCTTTCTGAGTTCCTGATACTAGCAGAGGGGATGGGGTTAGGTTCCTTATGAGCTTTCTTGTCCTTGTTGCCTTTGTTCGTGTGGAAGGTGCAACAGCTGCTGTGGCTTGTGCATTTGTCTTAGTCGCTGCTTTTACATAGTCTATATTTTGATAGTGATTTTATCTTTCTGAATGATAACTGACCAAGTCATCTGTCGCTTAACTATAAGTTTTATAGTGAATTTTTTTTCCCTTTGGATGTATATTAAATTTAGACGTTTTAGTTTAGTTTTGTTTCTGTTAATCTTCACACCAGGTCTTTTCTGTGCTTTAGGTTGATTCTTCACCACACTGAAACCATTAGGAAAAATCCTTGTGGTTAACAGCAGAGGCTTCAGAGTGTAACCTGTACTCGGGCCTAGAAATTATTTTAAATGGCGACTGATACGTCTCAAGGTGAACTCGTCCATCCTAAGGCACTCCCACTTATAGTAGGAGCTCAGCTGATCCACGCGGACAAGTTAGGTGAGGTAGGGGCTGACACAGTCTTGAAGCTTCACTCTTGGATCAGTCCCTGACTTCAGGCCCTGCTGGGTCCTTCTTGGTACCTGTTCCTTCCTCTACTTGGGGGAGTCTGGGTTGTGAATCTGAACAAATCAAGTAGATACAAAGTTCTTTTCATCTTCCCTTTCCCCTCAAACTCCTGAGAAAACCTAAATTTATTCCAAATCAAGTATAATTACTTATTTCCATTTGAAATTCTAGCTAAAATAAAATACATTGAAAAGTACTTCTTAAGAATCATATTTCATTTCAAAAAACCTTGTTAAAAGTAATTTGCATCAGATCCTGGAGTCGACTTGAAGAATTCTCCTACATCTTCTGACACCCAGTTAGGCCCCTTGAAAAAGAGAGAAAAGAGAAATTTTGTTTGCATGTGTGATTATGGCCATTTCTTTTCTTAGAAGGTAGAAGATAACACCATGCCGATTCGTCGAGCTGTGAATTCTACCCGGGAGACTCCTCCCAAGAGCAAGCTCGCTGAAGGGGAGGAAGAAAAGCCAGGTAAAGTAAAGCGGTGGACAGCTTCAAAAGGCAAAAGTTTCTGCTCCAGTTTGGGAGTGTCCCATAAATTCCCTTGAACTTACTTGTTCTTTTTTTATGCTTCAGTGTTTGGGGGGAGCATTTAGAGAGAGAGGTGGTACCTGTTGGTATGTCATTTCTAGACCATGTGGGCAAAGAAAATTTCATCTTGTCTCTAAAGATTTTTAGAAGGTGAAAATTTCATGTTCTTGGAATTAAAAAACAGAAAGATGGTTGGAGAGAACAGGAATGGTCGAAGAGTAGCTTCTGGGCATACAGTGTCATGGGGATGAAGACCCTGGAAGAATGGAAGACTTGGGCCTTCAAGATGGACAGCGGAAGGCTCAACCAGAAATCATCAAGAGGCCTTAAGGGAGCAAATGGGCGATCAAATCATTGGTTTGTAACTTTGGTGTTGGTGGAGAGAAGATTGGCCAGGCAGAGGTGGGAACATAATAAATCAAGAGAAAGGTAGAACCGTCAATCTGGAGTATTCGTGTTCCTTTATGGCACCTCTAACCACTTCTTCAAGTGGAACTGCTTTTCTTGTTCTTGTGACCTTTTTCTTTTTTTCTTTTCATTGCCAAGGATGAGCACATGGTGCTGTCCCTGTCGTGGCTGTTAGAACCAAATATTTGCTGACCAGCATATATTACCAATAAAATAATACATGCACCCTTAATGCCTTTATCCTTAGTGCACTAGGGATCTGCTCTTCTCCAGCTGAGCATGGATTTTGTCTCAGAATCCTCAGACGAATACTACAAGCATTTGGGGTACTCTGGCCTAAGGCAGTGAGGAGACATGGGAATCAGCATATTAAAAAAAATAATAGTTGCTGGTGAGTTGAGGATAGGTTATTTTTTGCAGCACTGAGATAAGCCACTTGATGGCCCATCTTGAGCCGCATTTAACAGCCAGCTGAAGTCACTAATAACGTGAGTTTTCAGAGTACACCAGAGTGTTCAGGTGTAAGGTATTAGAAAAGTCAACCGAGAATTTATAAAGGACCAGTAAGACACTTCACAAGTTGTTTGCTTATCTTATCTCTGTCCCATTATAGTATTTTGTACATGAAAATAATTGGACTTCACTCATGTTGTAAATTTTATAAATCCAAAAAGGCATACACAATAGTTCTGTGAGTTGGAAACATTGTCTCGTATGTAACAGTGTCTCATTATCTGTTGAGCAATTGAACCTTTATTAAACCGTAAGCTTTAAGAGAAAATAATGTGGAATTTAATTTGTAGCCCTGCTGTTACGGTAAAACTCAGTAAATGGTCTTGGCTTTTCAATTTGTTTAGAATAAAGCAATGTAAAAATAAGTAAACATGACTAACTAAAAGTAAGTTCTTACACAGTTAGGTCGGCCAGTTAGGTCAGATCGTTGGGGCAAAGGGCTGTAAAAGATACATCGTGATAAAAAAAAATACATCTTGCAGTTATCTGTATCACCAGATACCATTGTTATACTGAAGTTCTAGCCTTAATATTTGCGTAACAGCTCTAGAAGCAGTAGAAGAGGCCAGAGGAGGATGGGAATCAGTACAAGTGCTAGCCTACAGGTTTCCCCTAAAGCATTTTGTATTGTGTTCATAATAACTCTGTGAAGTAAGGGTACTGAGATTTGGAGATGTCAAAGAACTTGCCCTAAGATATCAAGCTAGAATGTTAGAAAGTCTGAACTTGAATCCAGATATATCTGACTCTAGAGCCTTGATTTTTGCTGAGCATATATGGGAGGATTTTTCACTTACATGCAAGTCTGGTTGAAGAGCATAATCCAGGATGATTTACAAATTATAGTTGACTATCCTGAAACTTATGATTTAGAATTTTAATTTGTAGAATTCCTTTAGCATTGTATGTATGTGGTTAGGCTATCAGAAGGAAGTGGCATTTTTAAAAATTCTCTTATTTATGTGAAGGCCCCAAAGAAGTCTTCATTATGCCAGTAATGAGTTCACATAATTTAATGACTAAACTCTTCAAGCATATCCTTTTTTTTTTTTTGCCTTGTTTTGGCCACTGATGCCCTTTTCTTTTAAGTCTCTGCTTAACCATTTCCTGGGGTTCTGTGTTCTGTAGTGGCTGCTCAAGGAGACCTACTGAGAAAAGACACAGACCAGCAACTGCAGACCTCAGTATTCCCCCTCTCATATTTCTACACTTGCCAGAATCATTTCACTTGGAAAATAAATATTAATTTTCTATTATTTATTCCCTTACTAATATTAGCCTGTTAAATTATGAAATGGCCAATTTCTTAATTATGAGTCTCATCATTAATGTTATAGAGTAAAACACTCAAGAGTTTTGATTTGGGGTAAAATGAGTTTCCCTTTCTGTGCAATTTGCCGAGCCTTCTCTTTTTCTCACCTAATGGTCTGGATCAGCAACCCCTTATACAGGCAATTTGAGTGACATAAATCAGGGGAAAAAAGTGTACTCATAAATCATTTGTTCATTTTAGGATACAACTGTTAATTGCAGCATTTGGCTTATCTGTTTAAAGAGATAAACTTTTACCCTTTTATTGACTCAGGCTCTAATGTATTTACTTGATGCAATCCTACTCACCTGATTTCTTTTTTTTTTTTTTTTAGAACCAGATGTAAGTTCAGAGGAATCTGTCTCCACTGTAGAAGAACAAGAGAATGAAACTCCACCTGCTACATCTAGTGAGACAGAGCAGCCAAAGGGGCAACCTGAGAATGAAGAGAAGGAAGAAAACAAGCCTTCTGAGGAAACCAAAAAGGAGTAAGGACTTATGCCTTCTTGCTATTTGTATGTGAAGACTATGTAAAAGGACTGTAGGTCAGATTTTTTAAAGTGATACAACTTAATTTATGCTAGATACATGCTATTTGGAGTTACTTTTTTTGGAATTATCTTTTGGAATAGGCTTACGATGTAGTCGTATGGCCTATTAGAATTTGTAGTAGTTATCAGAACAGTGGTTTGACGGATGCAAAATTCATTCTTTTCGGCTTTGGCATGTTTTTGTGCTTAGAAAAGCACAAAATTCATTGTGGGAGTGTCTCCTATTGTAAACATTGACATAATTTCAATAAGAAATGGAACGTGACTAAAAATCTGACCTGAGAGATTCTTCTTCACTTTATTCCTCCCTCTTGGCAGGAATGAGTTATTTTTACGTGCTTATGTTCGAAAGCATTAATCTATACCAAGACATTGCTAGAGTGACCTAAAACTCTGTATATATTTGATGAAGTATTCAATTGGAGGGTGACTTTGAGAATCTGAAGGCAAAATTTGCTATTGATAATCTGTACAATGTGATGGTGATTCTTTTTTAATTTAAATTTTTTTTTGCAGGACAGCTGGTAGCATTCATTCTATTCTTTTCATAGTTGGTGAAAACAGGAATTACTTTTTAAATAAAAGAATGACTTAGAAATAACTATACTTTCCAGGTATAATCCTCAGGGAATCCTTCATCCCAGTTTCATAGGTATATGTAAGGTCTGTGGAATTTTTAGCAGCTACCCTTTCTTTTAGGTACATGGAGTGTTATTATTACTTAGAATAAAATTTGTATAATGCTTTATGGTTCACAAAACTTTTTATAAACGTAACCTTATCATTTCTTGCAGCACCTTGTGAAGTATTTGGTATTACATTACTGTTTTACAGCTGAGGAGATTGAGACTCAGGTCACTGGCTAAGATCATATAGCTAGTAAATGTTGGAGCTGAGACTCAAACCCAAGTTTTCTGACTTCAGAGCTTGAGTTCTTCGCACTGTACTGAATCGCATCTGTTGCAGTTGTTACTAGAATTCATTTTAAAATTCTCATTTCTTTTATGTACTGGCCCTTCATACTAGTGCTGATTTATATGACTCCTCTCTCCTGTGTGCAGCTGGGAGAGCACACCTTTTTGGTTCATTTGTAGAACCCAATTTTTTAAAAATGTTTTATTTTGTAAAATGTTGCTTATTTTACGTATCACCTCAGTGTGGAAATGAATTAAAACATTGATTTTTATCCCTCTCTGGTCTTTTCTTCTTTCTGACTTTATACTTCTTTCTGAAGAGTTTATCTTGCATAATAACAATTCTTTGTTTTAAAGTGAGAAAGATCAGTCTAAAGAAAAGGAGAAGAAAGTGAAAAAAACAATACCTTCCTGGGCTACCCTTTCTGCCAGCCAGCTAGCCAGGGCCCAGAAACAAACACCGATGGCTTCCTCCCCACGTCCCAAGATGGATGCAATCCTAACTGAGGCCATTAAGGCAAGTTTTTATTTCAAGCAGTTCATCTTAGATTTATTCTGTTTGTCTCTTGCGTATTTGAAAATGGCATACTCCTGTGCAGGCATCAGAAATCTTGCTCTGCTTCCTAAAAGAGATTTAAATAGAAGAAAGCCATTGCTAAGTTCATGTTTTTATAATATTATCACATTTGGTGAGCACTGTTAATTTTTTTAGAAACTCAGATTTACTATAGCAAGTATTTTTAACTTATCTTTAGATGTTTTTTTTAAAAACTCAGTTTATTTTCAGTATAGTTTTTATTTGAAGGCTGAACATGTTAATTCATTCAACAAACAATTAAGGACTAGCTTCTCTGTAGCAGGCAGTCCTACTAGTGCTATAGCATAGAATAAGACAAACAGAGTCCTTGCCCTTATGAAATTGAATTGTGACTCAGGGTAACTGAATAGCAATGAGAAAATTTTTATTTCAAAAAAGTATACTATCTTTAGGTTCATTTTCAAAGCTTATGTCTAATATTAGTAGTTGGTTATCTTTCATACCAGAACTCTTAGAAACGTCACTACTTTGCTTCATCACCTAGTCATTCCAGAATACTTGCAAAATCTATCCTCCTTCCATAGCTTTATAACTTTGCTATAATTCATTGACTTTCATTAGCTTGTATGATCATCAGATACTGTTTTCCTGTTTTAAGGGTATCTTCTAATCTGACCTTGCCTTTTTGTGTGTAAATTTTTCTGGTTCATTTTGCCATGTTTATTTCACATGATCAGATGACAAGAGGAGTTAAAGTAGAAGCCATAGACACTCTGATTTCAGGGACCGTGTTGCTAGGATCTGAGTCAGAATTGGGGAGAGAAGGCTACAGATCAGTTTAACCAACGGTGGTTTACATAGGAAAGAGGAGCTTGGTGGTCATACTTAGAATTTGAGAAGACGGCACTAACAAACTGGAAAAAAGGTTTGCCTTCAGACCTCTCCCTACACTCCTTCAAGACAACTCTCAACTCATTAAGAAAACTTTCTTGGTTTATATAGCTTGATTATAGTGAGATCTCTTTGTGTAGCCTTTCTTCAAGGATTTCACTTTGTGACCTCTCTCAGTCTAGGTTTGGAGGAGCAGGGTTACAGTGAGGGTGGAGAAGGGACTAAAATTCTAAGATAATAAAACAAAAAATTTAAACAGTATAATTAGGCCTGAAAAATAGTTTGAATATGATTATGCATATTTGTACAAATGAAATACATACATATATATATATATATATATATCTCGTGTATTCCATGCACTGTAAACAAATCATGATTTCAGACCATTGACACCGTTTTCTGAATTGAACAGGAATCTTGATACCTATTTTCATCTTATTCAGTTTGGTGGAGCAGGGATTGTTTTAGCATTAGAATGTGCTTTTCTGCTTGATTTTCTTTACTCTGTGTTTTTTTATAAGATCAGAAGAAAACTTCAGTAGGTTGTAATAGGTCAGAGACATTTACTTGAAGCAGGTGATTCATTTTAACACAATCCATATTAAATTGTGTTGTACAGTCTTTTCTGGTTCATCTGTCTGTGACTTATTTTTCTTTATTGTCAGTGTATAAAATAACATTCAAACAAGTCTTTATGCAACGACAGTGAGTAAATCCTATGGTCATTTTATAGACAATGGCTACACAAAACTGGTGGACTAGCTCATTAGATAATAGATGCTGCTTGTGTGCTTCAAAATGTAAAGCTTTTGAAACAGAATTGCTGCCTTTGTGACGCAATGACCTACTTCAGTTTTCCATGGGCATTAGTCAAATGGAATATAGATAAATAGGATGGAAAAGGAAGAGGACACTTTAAATTGCAATCGAATGCTCTCATTGTCCAAAACGCCCGTTAAGGCTTTGCATCTGTAAACCCAGTTTTGTGCCATTTATTCAGATTATCTTTGCTTATGGTATCTGCTGGCATTCACACAAAGCCTGCAGAGGAATACTGGTTCTGGTGTGCTGAAGTTCATTCCATAAAATGGGCCAGATCTGTGAACCTACAAGGGATAGAAGTGCCCTGCTTTCCTCACTTTCATGCTAAAGACCTGTCTTCTAAATACAGAATAGAATTAGAATGGAAAGAGCTTCTTCATTAACACACAGAATGTTGTTCACATGTTGTATCTTCTCTTTGGCTGTTTTGAACAATTTAAAATTGTTGCAGAAATATTGTTAATTCTGTATTTCTCCACAGCCATGATGAACTGAAGTTACCTGCAATACTGTTCACTCTTTCCTGCCATTTTTATCATCCATTATCAAGTTCACTTCCAAAATAATTTATTTTGAAAACATAGGTGTCAGAACACATGAAAAACAGCTAGTTTAAATTAATATGTATGGTTTGATAAATCTGTTTCCTAGGCATGCTTCCAGAAGAGTGGTGCATCCGTGGTTGCTATTCGAAAATATATCATCCATAAGTACCCTTCTCTGGAGCTGGAGAGAAGGGGCTACCTCCTTAAACAAGCACTGAAAAGAGAATTAAATAGAGGTGTTATCAAACAGGTATTAAATGGTTGTTTGTAATAAGATCATTTCAACATGTATTAGCTGTAAATCCATATTTAGTAACATTTAGGCTTTTTGTGCTTTGTGAATTTGTTAGTTAAAATAAGTTAACGTGATGATGAAAAGCTTAAAGATAACCATTCTAGAGAACAGAAGCAGTATGGTAATGTAACTTTTTTCTAGCGGCCTGTACTTTTAATTGAACTTTCGGGGGGCTGCTTGTGCTTGAGATTATGTGGTGCTGCAGATTAGAAGTGGGGTTGAGGAGTCCAGGTACTGCAGCAGCAGAAAAGGTAATTGTTCTTGTCTTAGGGTTGTTAGTTTTAAGGCCTAGCTTCTGTGGCTAGACTGGTTATCATTATAAATTAGATTTGCACATAGGTTCACCTTAACTTATTAGTATCTGAAACTATTAAGGCTTTTGGGAGCATCAGATAAACCTGAATAAATTGAGAATAATACTAAAACCAATATTGATTTCAGGCATAAATCCATGTTACTTTGCATAGTACATCAAAACTTTACTTAGAGCTCTGAGGATATTTTGTACAACACAGCGAATATAGCCAGTATTTTATAATAATTTTAAATGGAGTATAATGTATAAAATTTTTGAATCACTGTATTGTAACCTGAAACTAATATAATATTGTAAATCAACTATACCTCAACTTAAAAAGAAAATTGTTTAGCTAGAATGAACTTTCTTGTCAATCTTCAGAGGTCCAGAGGGAGGAAGTAACTACCAAGGTCCCATGGTAATAGCAAAGATGGTTCTGAAGATCTAGTTCACTGCATTCCCTGAGTCCTGTTGCCTTTTTTCTATATCTTTCTGCATGGTTTGGTTAATAACAGAATTCTGTGCCACTCAGGCATTTAAATTCCTCTTAGGAACTTTCAACAAGTACTTAACTCCACAGATATATTATTGAGTGTGTCCTGTGTGCCAGGTGCTTGGGGGTCCATCTGTGAGTAAAACAGTCCTGTGATGGAGCTTACATTCTACCTTTCTCAAAATGTTGTAAAACTGATATTTAAATGGCCTTTAAAATAATCATTGCTTAAAATATATTGTCTAACCATTATAATTAGTATCATAGTATATGTCAGCACAGTTTATTAGCTGGCTTCATGTTTTTCTTTTTGAAAATATAGTTTGTGACCTATTTTGCCTCATAGGCTGACCCTCAGTTTGATGCGTCAACAGGTTTATAGGCTGAAAGCATTTCCGTTTGATTGCTGTCACAGCAGGGTAGGTGAAGCTAAGGTGTGGAGGACTCAGGTTAATGTGAAGTTCTATGACAGCACTTCGTAAACTGTGGAAGTACATTCTAAGACTTCCACATACCGTCATGTGCAATGTCTAAAATTGCTAGATAACCTTTCCCATATGCAGTAATAATCTGTAACGGGCAAACTGTAGGAAGCATTGTGGCCTGAGATTAACTAGGCCTGAACTTTTGCCAAGGAGCTGTCTTCCTTTCAAGATAGAGGTTTTCTCACTTATTTTTTTTCTTGAAAGCTTACAGTAGACTGTTTAACCTGGTATCACCATTTTTGTAGATGAGGAAACAAAAGCTCAGAGGGTTTATGAGGTTGTCCAGTATTGAATGGCTAAATGGTACCATAAATAGGATTTGATCCCAAGTCTTTTGACTCATCCATTCTTTTTTCTCTGAAGAGTTCAGCAGCACTTTACATTAGTTCTTGCATCACCATGCCCTGTAATTCGCTTAGTCTAGTATAAAGTTATCAATATGAGTACCAGAATAATTTAAAATAAAAATACCTGTTATTGCAACTAAAGTTAATTTACTTTAGGTAAAAGGAAAAGGTGCTTCCGGGAGTTTTATTGTGGTCCAGAAATCAAGAAAAACACCTCAGAAGTCCAGAAACAGAAAGGTAAGAAGTCTGTACCAGTTTGATTGAGCACTGTAATACTATTACTACTGCTAACAATACAGTGTTTACTGAGTGTTCACTGTGTGCACTGTGCAGGATGCAGCCTTTCTCTGAAGGCCTGGAGAGGTTATAATTCATTTGCTCATTATGATTCAGCCAGAGAGTAGACGGGACAGTGTGCGACTCCAGGCACCCCAGCCCCGGAGCCCGTGGGCCTAACTGCCCTCCGTTGAACTATGGGCAGCTGTATGAGTTATACTGCTTTTTTGTGAAATACCTTTTAAACTAGAAGAGGCATACAAGTACATGTTTACCCAATATTAGACCCTAAAACTATATCTTAAGCCAGTTTTTCTTTTTTGTAGATACTAACACTCCCCCTCCTCCAGACACATAATTTCATTTATGGAAAGTATACGATAATAAAGTGAAATACATAATATTTCCTCTGTGTCAGTAGTTGAAATCATGACTGTTCCTCTACATCTCCAGTGTTACAGCACTGGAGATTTTTGTACTTTCTTTATAAGGCTTTCAAAATGAATTTTTTTGTACAGTGCTGCCTGGTGCTGCATGATCCTTTTCATTCTTTGTTATTGAAGAATGAATTAAGACTTTTAATACCTTTTAATTTTTATATATATTTTTAACTCTCCCAGTTCAATTTTTTTTTTTTTTTTTAATCTCTGGCCGCGTTGGGTCTTCATTGCTGCGCGTGGGCTTTCCTAGTTGCGGCGAGCGGGGGCTCCTCTTCATTGCGATGCGCGGGCTTCTCATTGCGGTGGCTTCTCTTTCTGGCGGAGCACAGGCTCTAGGTGTGCTGGCTTCAGTAGTCGTGGCACGCGGGCTCAGTAGTTGTGGCATGCGGGCTCAGTAGTTGTGGCTCGTGGGCTCTAGAGCGCAGGCTCAGTAGTTGTGGTGCACGGGCTTAGTTGCTCCGCAACATGGGGGATCTTCCCGGATCGGGATTGAACCCGTGTCCCCTGCATTGGCAGGCTGATTCTTAACCACTGCGCCACCAGGGAAGTCCCTGAAACTTTTATCTCAAAGAAATTGCCACTCAAGTGACATTACACCACTGCGGTATGAATTGTTTGAATGTGCTGAAAAGGAATAGTTTTCTTTTGCTTATTTGATTTGGCAGTCAGCTTGGGAAAGCCCTTGAGTTGAATATAGAAGCATTAGAAAAGAAAACTCTATATCCTGTAATGATGATAATTTTTGATATTACATTTCAGAACAGGAGCTCTGCAGTGGATCCAGAACCACAAGTAAAATTGGAGGATATCCTCCCACTGGCCTTTACTCGCCTTTGTGAACCTAAAGAAGCTTCCTACAGTCTCATCAGGAAATACGTGTCTCAGTATTACCCTAAACTTAGAGTGGACATCAGGTATGAGCCAGAGGCCTGGACTTTAAAACACAGATGTCTGTATTACTTCCTTAGCCCCTTTTTCATGAGAAAGGAGAAAGATTAAATATTCAGTAAGGATTACTTTCAGTTGAGCTAGGAATAAAACCTTTTTTTGTGGGTTTTATTTTTTGTCCCATTATATTTTCCTTTTCATATCTCCATATGTAGTTTCTTTTTGAAACTCAGACCGCATGTTGACTTTCACAAGACTCTGATAGAGTAACTTTTCATGATGTCAGCTGCTAGGATATTCAGCATTAAACGATGTCCTCTCAGCTGCTGATTATTTTTTTAATTTTTTTATTGTGATAAAATACACATAAATGTAAAATTTACTTTCTTAACCATTTGTAGTGGTAACAGTGTTTAGTTGTATTAAATACTTCCAGAGTGTGCTACCATCGCCACCACCCATCTCCAGAACTCTTTTCATCTTATAAAACTGTAACTCTGTACCCATTAAACAAGAACTCCCTGTTCCCCCTTATCCCCCAGTCCCTAGCAGCCACCATTCTACTTGGTCTCTACAATGCTTGACTGCTCTAGGTGCATACCTCATATAAGTAGAATCATACAGTATATTTTGTGACTGGCTTATTTCACTTAGCATAATGCCCTTAAGGTTCATCCATGTTGTTGTGCGTGTTAGAGAATTTCCCTTCTTTTTAAGGCTGAATAATATTCCATTGTATGTATATACTACATTTTGTCTGTCCTTTTGTTTGTCCTTTCATCTGTCATTGGACACTTGGGTTGCTTTCATGTTTTAGCTATTGTGAAATAATGCTGCTGTGAACATTTGTGTACTAATATCTCTTTGAGACCCTGTTTTCAAATACCCAGAAGTAGAATTTCTGGATGATATGATAATTCTGTTTTTAACTATGTAAAGAACCACCACACCGTTTTCCACAGTGACTGTACCATTTTACATTCCCACCATCAGTGCACAGGGGTTCTGATTTCTCCATATCTTCACCAACACTCATTTCTGGTGTTTTTTTGTTTGTTTTTTGATAGTAACCGTCCTAATAGGGGATGAGGTGGTTGGTAGCTCATTTTTTATTTAGATGTATAACTGAGAACATAGGAGACTTCAGGCTTCTGTAGCACTTCTGCATAGAAATAGCATAATATTTTCATCATTTAAACATTTAATGTAAAATTCTGAGAGAATTTTGATAGTAATTCATTTGTAAAATAATTGCCACTTAAAAGCATCTAGACTGATTAGATTGTCACATGTGCTTGTGGATTCATGCAGACACATTGTTCAGATTTGTAATTCACAGTTTGTGTTTTGAATGTGTTTGTGTAACATCTTTGTTACATTGACTTCTGGGAAATTGTGTTTAATCCAGAGTCCTTTCTACAGACAGTTTCTGTATTGGATGCACATTGTCCTGATAGAGTTTAGTACCGGTATTTACTTTGGATTACTGAGGCATACAGTTAGAATTGCAGGGGTTTCAGCCCAGAAGCCACATTCTCAGAAGAGCACTTAGTGGTCTTCAGAGTGGCCAGTTAGTGAAAATGCCAAAGAAAGGGGAATCATAGAAGGAGAAAATTTGAAATTAATATCCGGATTTTTTCATGCTTCTTATACCCTGATTATGAGCCACAGATATAACTTTGGGTCCAATACGCATTGTTTGGCGCATTTAAAGATGGAAATACATTTCACTCTTATCTCTTTTTACTCTGTTTTTGGTGACTAGAGACTGTATCCTCCCCCAGCTTTTTTCTTTCCTTACGGTTCTACTTTACTTACATGAGACATGCTGGTGATTGCAGTGTAACTTTGCTCCATGTCTTTGGGAACATGTCCCGTTGTCATTTTATGTTGAAACAAAATTTGCCCGAAAATAGGTGGGTTGTCAGCCCATAGATGATGATGAACTTGAAGACCTTTTCTTATTACCTTATTAAATAGTAACTTCTTTCTTTGAAGCTCTTTTTTCCTTTACTTTGATTTTCTCTACCACCGACTGTAGTGGAATCCTGCCATACATATATTTAACGTGAAAGTTTAGCCGTACTTAACGCTTGACCGAACAAAAGAACAAGAAAAGTACAGTTTTAAAGTATGGGTTGTCTATCTATACTTGCTGCCTATAATTTTTCTCCTCCTACTTTGTCTTAAACCCACTTTTGTCATACATTACCCCCACCATTTTACCTGAAATACTTCTTCCTGCCAGTGTCACTGAGGGCCTCCACATTGCAAATTACAGTAGTCAGTTCATAGTCCTTGACTTACTTGCTGGTCTTTCTACAGTATTTGACACAGTTGATGGCTCCCACCCGCTTGAAACACTTTCTTCACTTGCCTTTCAGAACACCACACATACCTTTCTGATTTACCTCCAGCTTCACTACCCGCCCATTCTTTCTCAGCCTCCTAAGGATTCCTGATTTCCCATCTCCTGCCTCCTTAATGTACAAGTGCCCCATGGTTAGACCTTAGGCCTCTTGTCTTTACTGTCCACATTCACTTTGAATGAATGGTAATTCTTGGCATTCTCAAAGCTTTAAATAGCACCTACACAATACTAATATACAGGTATATAAATCTGGCCCATACCTCCCTCCTAGCTCCACATTTATATATACAGACACCTGTTTGACATCACCGCTTGTGTGGCTAATTTCACATGTCCAAAACTAAACTGTTGATCCCCACCCCACCCTCGCCCGTCCCTCCTGCCCCATCTCTCCCGCCCCACCAGAAAGGCCCTGCACTTCCCATACCTCCCTCATCTCAGTTAGTGGCAATAACATCTTTTCAGTTGCTGAAGCCAAAAACCTTGGGTTTGTCCTGGTCTCTTTATCTCACACCTAAGTGTAATCTATAAAAAATTACTTTGTCTTTAAAGTACATTCATAAACAGACCTCTTTTCATTACCTTCACTATTTTCACTCTTTTCGAAGCCACCATCATCTCTCACATGCATTAGAGCAATAATCTCCTGCTTCTCCCATGCTCCCTCCCTTTCAGCCTGTTCTTAACATAGCAGTGAGAGTGAGACTTCTAAAATGTAAGTTAGGGGCTTCCCTGGTGGCGCAGTGGTTGAGAGTCTGCCTACCAATGCAGGGGACACGGGTTCGTGCCCCGGTCCAGGAAGATCCCACATGCCGTGGAGCAAGTGGGCCCATGAGCCGTGGCCACTGAGCCTGCGCGTCTGGAGCCTGTGCTCCGCAACGGGAGAGGCCACAACAGTGAGAGGCCTGCATACCACACACGAACACACAAAAAATAATAATAATAATAAAATTACGTTAGACCATACCACGTTGCTGCTCAGACCTCCCAGTGGCTTCTCAACCACTTCACAGTTAAAAAGTTTAAAGCTAGAGTCTTTAAAATGGCCTACAAGACACTATGCTTCCATTGCATCTCCAACCTAATCTCCTACTACTCTTCTCTCCCTTACTGGCCTCAGAGACTTCACACTTGCTGTTCCCTTTGCCTGGGTGGTTTTCCCTCATAACCCACCTTACTCACTCTTTCACTTCCTTTCAGTTTTTACTCTCGTATCATCACCACATGCCTGCCTTGATTACTGTACCATTTTTTAACATTTTATTTTGGAAATTTTCAGACATACACATAAATGTAGAGAGAACATAACCATCATACTAACCTAATTCCTAACTAAACTAATAATTCCTTAACATTATCCAGTACCCAGACCATGTTCAGATGTCCTCAGTTGTCTCCAAAATGACTTTTTTTTTTTTTGCGGTACACAGGCCTCTCACTGTTGTGGCCTCTCCCGTTGCGGAGCGCAGGCTCCGGACGCGCAGGCTCAGCGGCCATGGCTCACAGGCCCAGCTGCTCTGCGGCATGTAGGATCTTCCTGGACCGGGGCACGAACCCATGTCCCCTGCATCGGCAGGCGGACTCTCAACCACTGCACCACCAGGGAAGCCCAAAATGGCAGATTTTTATATTGTTCACTTCTGTTTTTCCCAAGCCTAGCACACAGTACATGCTCAATAAATATTAGTTGAATGAGTGAACTAATATGGGCACTTCACCTGGCCATTTCACTCAAGGAACTTTTGCCCTGGAGCATACGAGATGAGACATGAATTCCTCCTACCATACACTGGAGGCTGTAGAGCATTGTGGTAAAGAGCACAGACCTTGGAACCCGACCCTTATGTTTAAATCCTGACTCTTTGTCATTTCTAGCTTTGTATCTCTGAATAAGTTATCTCTTTGTGTCTTGGTTTCCTCATTGATAAACAGTGTTTAAGTCATAGAGTTGTTAGGAACCTTCATATGTGTTAAGCACTTAGAACAGTGCCTGAGACTTCCCTGGTGGTCCAGTAGTGAAGACTGCGCTTCCAGTGCAGGGGGCCGGAACTCGATCCCTGGTCTGGGAACTAGATCCCGAATGCTGCTGCAGCTAAGAGTCCACATGCCACAACTTAAAAAAAAAAAAAAAAAAAGATCCTGCATGCCACAACAAAAATCCCACGTGCCACAACTAAGACCCGGCACGGCCAAATAAATAAATAACAGTGCCTGGCATGTAATAATAACTCATCTAATGTTAGTATTATTAGTGAGTCTCAATTCCAACGTGGCTCTCATGGTATGAGCATCACACCATACTAAATATGATTCTAATGTTTAAAGACTGTTTTTATATAACACGCAAGTCACCTCCTTTATTAACAATGTTTTTTGCAACCCTAGAGAAAAATGGGGTATGTTGGCTTTACATAGGCTTTGGGTTGGCCTCCAAGAAGGTGCTCTCAAAGGTAATGCTGTCATATGACATTAGAAATCAAATTTTAATGTCTGATCCTTGTGTATGGTGTAACTTCATCGTATTCTCTTGATTTTTCTCTTTCTGTGCATACCAAAATATGAGCATAGCCCAAGATGCAATTTTACCCCCATACTTTTCTCTAAACATATTAATTTCTCTGGAGATCCCTTAATTTCTTAACAGTTTAAACTCTTTAAGTACTTTCAAGAGTCTTGATCTTCTTAATTCTGTCCATGCGTTTCTAACAGATTGATGTAACTCTTAGATTCCTGCCACTCCCTCCCTTACCTTCCATTCGCTTTGTGCATTGCTTTCGTTTTTATCTCTCTCAGTGCAGACTTTCTCCACAGTTGAAAAACATAGCCACCAACAATCACTCACTATTCCCTGCTTTCTAATTAAGCTGGTCTATTCATCTTATTTTTAAAAAGAAAAACTTGTTACCATAAATATAAAAATTTGTTATAAATTTGTTATAATAAACAGATTGTATAAAATAAATTTGTATAGGGCTTTTAAAAACATTTATTTTGCATTGTTTTCTGTAATTCTCAAAATAGACTTAAAAATAGGTATTCCTACCTCAATTTTGCTGATAAAGATCTTACCCTGGGTTACTCGGCTATTCACTGGTGAAAGCAGAACTTTATTTCATTTTTCCATTATAACCTCTTGCTTTTTCCACTGTCCAGGGCTGTCTTATATTGGAAAGTGCAGGCCTACCTAGCATAGTGAGTAAAAATGCAAAATCTGGAATCAGACTGCTCAAGTTTATAACCTGGTTCTTCCACGGCCTGGCTATGTGATCTGGGAGAAATGTCTTAATTTTTCTGTCACTTAACTTTTCCCGTTCAGTAAAGTATGGGCAATAGTACTACCTGTTTCTTGGGGTTGTTGTATTCTCTTGTTTATTCCATCCGTGTAAAACATTTACAGCAGCACTTAGTTAGCACCATCATAGGTACAGAGTGGTGTGATACAGACTAGAATTTTTCAGAAAAAGGAATTGTGCTTGGGAGTTAGCAGTGAGTTAAAAAGATGGGGATTGATTGGGCTCCCCATCCAATCAAGGTGAGGATCCAGTCGGGTCCCATCCCATTGAGATGGGTCTAGAGAATGTGTAGAATTTAGATGTGGTGATAGAGTGGAGAAGGCATCTTAAAGGAGCTTCATGAAAAAATTTCAGAGGCAGGAGTTGGCATTCTTTTTGCGGAACGGAAAGAAGCCTGCCTGGATCTAGACTAACAAGGGCTGGCACCAGGCCATGGAAAGCTTTGAAGCTGGGTGGAAGCATTAAGACCTGACACCTGATCAACTGAGTCACATATTAAAGGAGGCCTTTATAGGCTTATTGCCTTAATAGTGGTGTGCACTATGAAAACAGCAGCACAGTGCCCAGAAGGGAGACCATGGTGGCTTGTACTAAGGTTATAACAGTGATGAGAGAGAAAGGGCCAATCTGAGAAGCTTTGAAGCACTTGGTAAGTGTGGTTTTACCTGAAGGTAGGAGTGAGTGATAGAACTGTGAGATTTCTAATGGCCCAGGATAAGGTGTATGCTAAGGTAATGACTGGTATTGCTGAGAAAACAAAAATGTTAAGGGAACCTATTTAACTGATAACTCATTCCTGAAGCATTTGAACCTTCGTTAAGAAGACTCTTCTCAGGGAATTCCCTGGCAGTCCAGTGGTTAAGACTCCAAGCTTTCACTGCCAAGGGCCTGGGTTCGATCCCTGATTGAGGAACTAGGATCCCGCAAGCATCGCGGCATGGCCCAAAAAGAAAAAAAAAAAGAAGATACTTCTCAGATTGGTTGTTTAATGTGATACAAGAGACTGGGGTTTCAGTGTTTAACTTAAGCTGTATGATCCTCCATTGGAATCTAACTTACAGAGCAACTAATAGTAAAATTGTTTGACAGTTAAATCATTCCTTCAATTGTGTTCCCAAAGCTCTATGCACATACTTCAACCCTGAACCTTATTATTCTCTACCATAATTATTATGTATTCATCATCTCTTAAATTCCTTGAGTTTAGTGACTAGATCTAAGTGTTTATTCCTGCATAACCATACTAAATACTCAGTAAATACTTGTGGGGTGAATGACTTTGAGTGTGTTTTGGGTTATGGCATAAATCATATTTGTCCTGAATGGAATAGCACTGGCTTAGAAATACTTGGATTGTGATTTGGTGGAGAGGGAGTTTCTTCATTTGGAGTGTCAGGATGTACAAGATTTGATAGCATGGTTTCTGCTCTTTAGCATCCTGTTAGAACAGGGGATCCCCTCCACCCTTCTACCCCAAACATGTGGATAATGTAATTAATAACTCTAGTGTCAGCTCAGGCTGTAATGTTTAGTGGTTGGAGAAAAGATTCAAAATTTCTTCTCCAAACAAAAGTATCAAAGCTCGATAAATCACCTCAAGTGGTAATAGTTTGGCCCTCATCATTCTGCCCCTCAGTGGGCTGCCAAGTTGTTAATCTTTTCAACTTACCAAGTAATCAGTTTCAAAGAAGTCTCATGATTTTCTGCTCCTTGGGTGCTATTCTAGTAATTCTGGGGAGGTGTGGCAAAACACATCTCTTAACTTTTGGGTTACGATTAACCCTTTCTTCAGATGTCCTGTTGTTGGCCTGGGTGTATAGCTTTCCATTTTGTCTTGTTCCATACCACAGACCCCTTTAAGCCCTAAGTCAACTTGATTGATTTCTCCCTGCACCTGACATTCTTCACCCACCGTTCAGACCATTGCTCCTTGACAGAGCAGCTCTTGCCTCAACACTTTGTTCTTATGTGTTTCTGTTTTGGTTTTGTTTTAATATTTTATTTTATTTACTTTTATTTTTTTGGCTGTGTCGGGCCTTGGTTGCAGCACACGGACTTCTCTCTAGTAGTGATGTGCAGGTTTTCTCTCTCTAGCGTGGCACGCAGGCTCCAGAGCGTGTGGACTCTGAAGTTTGCGGCACACGGGCTCTCTCATTGAGGCGCACAAGCTCAGTAGTTGTGGCACCTGGGCTTAGTTGTGGCATGTGGGATCTTAGTTCCTGGACCACCAGGGAATTCCTGTTCTTGTGTTTTTAATGATATTCAATTTCTTCTTGCCTGCCATTTGGTTTTGATGACCTAGTTTTTTGTTTTTGTTTTTGCTTTTTTTAATACAACCCTCTTAAGGCAGAGATACTATGTTAAAAACAACCTGTTTTCTTTCTCATGGAATGTGTTTTATTAGGCTGACCTTAGATACTGGTTTGTAAGAAACAACTCCATTTTTTGTTAATGTGTATATACTTTTAAAAAATCAGGAATTTTGCCGCAGAGAATATCAGAATTAGATGGGACTTTAAAGATATCCATTCTTTGCTTGAGTACAAAGTTTGGTTGCTATTGTAGTCTGATGGTAAAAAAGAGACTTTTGGAGTGCCCTGGCAAGTTGGAAATTGGTTCTGTATGGTTCATGGTTCTGTATGTACAGGTAATGACTTAGCTTCTTTGCTTGAAGAAAAAAGAAATACCACTTAACTAAGGGTGCCAACAATTTATTACTTTACTGTTTTAACAAAGTACTACACATATAATAGGAATCAGAACTTTAGTTCTTTAGAATAACCCTGGTCCTGTTTTCTTCAAATCTTACCTTCATTAATATATTTATTGTTATTTTATGTTTTCTCTGCAGGCCTCAGCTGTTGAAGAATGCTCTGCAGAGAGCAGTAGAGAGAGGCCAGTTAGAACAAATAACTGGCAAAGGTGCTTCTGGGACATTCCAGGTTAGAGGCTAAAAAGGCTTGGTTGTAGAGAAGTAGTTTTCAAAAGTTGTGGTTTCAGGACCTCCTTATACTCCAAAAATGTATTGAGGGCCCCAAGAGGTTTTGTTTATGTGGGTTATGCATATAAATATTTACCATATTAGAAATCACAACTGAGGAAAATTTTAAATATTAATTCATTAAAAAAATAATAAACCCATTGCATGTAACATACATAACACTTTTTATGAAAACTGTATTTCCCATGGGACTTCCCTGGAGGTCCAGTGGTTAAGCCTCTGTGCTCCCAATGCAGGGGATACGGGTTTGATCCCTGGTCAGGGAACTAAGATTCTGCATATGCCACGTGGCACGACCAAAAAAAACCCCTGTATTTCCCAAAATAAAAAAAATTTTAATGAGAAGAGGGTTACTATTTATTACGTTTTTACAAGTGTCTTTACTGTCTAGCTTAATAGAAGACAGCTGGTATCTGTTTTAATGTATTTTGGGTTACATCTATGAAGAGAATCCAGCTCACACAGGAGCACAGTTAGATCAATGTGGAGTATTTTAAGATAATTTTCAGGTAGAGGTTGATACTATTCTTTGATAGTAAACCAAAAGTCAACAAATGATAGTATTTTGTAATAGCTTTATTGAAGTATGATTTATACACCATAAGATACAACCATTTTATGTTATGATGTATAATTCAGTGATTCTTAGTAAATTTACAGTGTTGTATAACCATCACCACCGTCCAATTTTAGAGCATTTCCATCACCCGAAAAAGATCTCTTGGGCCCGTTTGCATCACTCCCTGTTCCCATCCCCATCCAACCTGTTGATCTATTTTTTCTCTGTATAGATTTGCCTTTTTACATATTTCATGTGGGTAAAATCATACATTATGTGGTCTTTTGTGTCTGACGTCTTTCACTTAGCATAATGTTTTTTTAGGTTTATCCATGTTGCAGCATGAATCAGTACTTCATTCCTTTTATTGCCAAATAGTATTCCACTGTATGGATCTGACACACTTTGTTTATCCATTCACAAGTTGGGTTATTTCCACTTTTTAGCTATTATGGTTAATGTTGCCTGTGAACATTTATGTCCAAATCTTTGTGTGGATATACATTTTTATTTCCCTCGGGTATATAAGTAGGCGTGTGGACTGCCTGGACTATATGGTAAATTTGTTTTAAGAAACTGCCCAAGTGGCTGCATCATTTTGCATTCCCACCAACAATGTATGTATAAGGGTTCCAGTTTCTCCTTATCTTTGCCAACACGTTTATTGTCTTTTTAAAATTATAGCCATACTAGTGAATACAAAGTGGTGTCTCATGGTTTTGTTTGGCATTCCCCTAAGACTACTGATGTTGACCATTTTTTCATGTGCTTAATGGACATTTATTTATCTTCTTCGGTAAATGTCTATTTAGATCCTTGGTCTGTTTTTAAAATTGAGCTATTTGTTTTATTATTGAGTTATGAGTTATATAACTAGATACAAGTTCCTTATCAGATATACGATTTGCAAATATTTTCTCCTAAACCCATGCTTTCACTTTCTTAATGGTGCCTTTTGAAGCACAAGTGTTTAATTTGGATGAAGTCCAGTTTATCATTTTTTTTAATTGCTTGTATTATTGGTGACATATCTAATAAATTATTGCCTAGCTTAAGATCAGGAAGATTTACTCCTATATTTCTTTTAAGAGTTTTATGGCTTTAGCTCTTACATTTAGGTCTGTGATCCGTTTTGAGTTGTTTTGTTTATGGTGTGAGGTAGGGGTTATAAATTCATGTTTTTGCATGTGGGCATCCAATTGTCCCAAAACCATTTATTGAAAAGACTGTCCCTTTCTCACTGAATTGCCTTCGTACCTTTATCAAAACTTAATTGACCATGAGTGTAAGGGTTTATTTCTGGATTCATGCCACGATCACACTGTCTTGATGACTGTAGCTTTGTAGTAAGTTTTGAAGTTGGGAAATATAAGTCCTCGACTTTTTCTTTTTCAAAAGTATTTTGACTATTCTGGATCTTGTGCATTTCCGTGTGAATTTTAGGATTCACTTATCAATTTTCACAAAAAATCCAGCTAGGATTTTGGTAGAGATTGCATTGAGCCTATAGATAATTTGGGAAGAATCACTGTCTTTACAATGTTGAGTTTTCCTATCCATGGACATTCACTGTCTCTTCATTTATTTAGATCTTTAACTTCTCTCAGCAGTGTTTTGTAGTTTTCAGTGTACAGTTCTTATATTTCTTTTGTTAAATTTATTCCTAAATATTTTACTCTTTTTCCATGCTATTGTGAATGGAATTTTCTTATTTTCATTTTCAGATTGCTCATTGCTAGCCTATAGAAATACAGTTGGTTTGTCTTTTGATCTTGTATCCTGCAACTTGCTGAACTCATTTACTAGTTCTAGAGTGTTTTTTTCTATAAATTTTTTTTTAACTTTTATTTTATTTTTGACTGCTTTGCGGCTTCATTGCTGCATGCGGACTTTCTCTAGTTATGGTGAACGGGGGCTACTCCTCTTTGTGGTGCACAGGCTTCTCATTGGGGTGGCTTCTCTTGTTGTGGAGCACGGGCTCTAGGCGCACGGGCTTCAGTAGTTGTGGTGCACGGGCTTAGTTGCTCCGCGGCATGTGGGATCCTCCTGGACCAGGGCTCGAACCCGTGACCCCTGCATTAGCAGGCAGATTCTTAACCACTGTGCCACCAGGGAAGCCCAGTTCTAGAGTTTTTTTGTGGGTTCCTTGGGATTTTGGGGTGGATTCCCTAGGATTTTCTACATACAGGATAATGTCATCTGCAAATAGACCATTTTACTTCTTCCTTTCCAATCTGGATGTCTTTTTTTTTTTTTTTCCTCCATGCCTGATTGCACTGGATAGAACCTCCAGTGCAGTGATGAGAGTAGATGTCTTCGTCTTTCTACCCATCTTAAAGGGAAAACATTCATTCTTTCACCGTTAAAACTGTGGGTTTTTCATAGATGCCTATTATCAGATTGAGAAAGTTCTCTTCCCTTACTGGTTTGTTGGAACTTTATTATGAATGGCTGTTGGATTTGTCAAATGCCTTTTCTAAAACTCTTGAGATGATCATATGGCTTTTGTCCTTTATTCTGTTAATACGATATTACATTCATTGATTTTGTGGTATTAAAGTATGTTAAAGGTGCCATGTGGAACCTGAAACCTTATCAGTGAACTTGTTGTACTCTGTTACCTTAAAATCCTTTGGTCTGTCTTGAACTTTGAGTGTATCTTTTAACCATAATTTTATCACTTGGTCATTTGAAGAATAGTAGTTCATTGAATTATGCAGTTTTTAAAATATTGGCACATTTCATCCAACAGTAACAAAAATCATATTCATTAATATCACCCACTGATCTCATCAGAACAGCGTTTAAGTATTGGGAAATTATTGTGCTCATGATGGTAGATACAAGTTTTCCACAATTTAAATTTTCTCTTGAAAAGTTGAACTTATCATTGGCAACAAATACTCTTAGTTGTTTTCCTTGATATGACGGGCTCACTTAATTCATTTTCAAGAAAATGACTACCAGATACCCAAGTCTGATTAACCATAGTTTATCTGTTAATTGTTCCTTCAAATAAAAAGGATATTCCATGAAAAATGCAGCTAATTTCAGCTCACAACTCAATCACTAGGTGCTTTTCCTTGAGACTACCACCATCCCTCCAGATGCAGCTGACATGCTTTATAAATTCTTCTCACTTTGCCCCATCAAAGTATCAAAAAGACATGCATTGGAGTTGAGATTTAATAAAATCATTTTTATATCAAGGACATTCCTAAGTGAAACTGGGTTTTTTTTGTTTTTTGTTTTTTTTCGTTTAACCATAAGCGTATAGCAGTAAAGAATGCAGTAACTACTGGTACATTTCTGTGCCTCCACAGGTAGCAGCGGTTTTACCCATCATTGTTTTTCCACCATTAGTGCAAATGTCATCACAGTGAAAAAGGCAAATCATATCTTAGTATTATTATGAAAATAGTTTTAACCTTGCAGATCCTCTGAAGGGATCTCAGGAACCCCAGGGGGTTTGTGGACCTTTCTTTTGAGACTCACTATTGTAGACCATACCTCAGTTTGTCCTTTAACCTTTTTGCTTATTGGTGCTAACCTTTGTTCCCCAGCCTTTTGTCCTTGAAGTATGTTATATAATTTTCTTTTGTATGATACCCTAAATATTTATCAAACTTTTCCGTTGCCATTTTCCTTACAGGATTAAAAAGGCTATTTATGATTTTTATAAATACTCTGTTTTTCAGATTCAGAAAAAAAGGAAGTATTCTCAAAAGTGTTAATTTATTGGGGTCATAACAAGTTAACCTCCTTATTGGAGTAGAGCTGTCACCCTCTTTGGGTTAGGTTGGCTTTTGCTATTTTCAGTTGGATGGAGGGGTGGATAGAAGGAGAAAATGTCCCTAGGAGGGTTGGGACTCCTCAGTTAGGTTGAATACCTGAAGAGTGGGAAGAGAAAGTCCCTAACCTGACAATTTATTGTAAAACATATCTGTGCTAATGCAGGAACTCCGACCCACCTGGTGCAGAGGAGTCTTGTCTTGACCTGCTTTGGGAGAGTGTTGTCTTGATGCTTTTCTCTTCCTCCTTGGAAAACAGCTGAAGAAATCAGGGGAGAAACCCCTGCTTGGTGGAAGCCTGATGGAATATGCCATCTTGTCTGCAATTGCTGCCATGAATGAGCCGAAGACCTGCTCCACCACTGCTCTGAAGAAGTATGTCCTGGAGAACCACCCAGGGACCAATTCCAACTATCAAAGTAAGACTCAGGCTTGAGCACATTTAACGGGGATCCAGAGGATTGTCTTGTGAAAGGATCCCTAGAGATCATGCTGTTAATGAAAAAGCACTAACTACTGACTGAAAACCAAGAGGGAACAACTTTACAAACTTTATTATTTACAAAAAAAGAATCAAGACTTATCCTTGATTTACAGTGTCTGCTGAGGATCAGAATTTGATTTTACTTTGCTATATTTTTCTGATATTTATTTTTATTATAATAGAGACAAATTTCTAGGTTCGAAACACCTCTCAAGTATAGTATCTTTTCACCTACTTCTGAATGTTTACCAGAACATCTAATATCACCCTGAAACCAAGCCATTGTTTCAAAATACTTACCACTTAGGTTATTTCTTATTGACTTAAGCCCTAAACAGAAAATACTTTTTTTCAGTAAAGTATATTTACCCTGTCAGGTGGTGGTTTGAGATTAGAAACCTTGCCTTAGCAGCATTATCACATACAGATTAGTGAGAGTGTATATTTTCTCAGTGAACTATGAGAGTAGGCACAATGATGTAGGGTGAGGAATATGAAAATTAAGCAACAGAAGATACAAACTAGAATATATTGTTTTAGATGAAAAGCTAATTTTGAAGTCTTTTTTTTTAAAATAAATTTATTTATTTTTGGCTGCATTGGGTCTTTGTTGCTGCACGCAGGCTTTCTCTAGTTGCAGCGAGCAGGGGCTGCTCTTGGTTGCGGTGCGTGGGCTTCTCATTGCGGTGACTTCTCTCGTTGCGGGGCATGGGCTCTAAGCGTGCGGGCTTCAGTAGTTGTGGCTCGCGGGCTCTAGAGCACAGGCTTAGTAGTTGTGGTGGTGTGGTGCACGGGCTTAGTTGCTCCACGGCATGTGGGATCTTCCTGGACCAGGACTCAAACCTGTGTCCCCTGCATTGGCAGGTGGATTCTTAACCACTGCGGCACCAGGGAAGCCCTGGTATGGCTGTTTTTTCTCTTTCTTTACTTAAGATATATACTGTGTTTAATTGTGCATATTGACCCTGTAGATTATTCTATGGTTTTCTCTTGTGACCAAGTGTTGTAAGAGAAGATGAGTTTGGTTATTAACCTTTCCAGTGTCACTAATAATTGTGGCAGCTATTTATCTGGACACTGAATCACTATAAAATGTATTTTCATGTGTTTTTATATGAAAGATGAGAACTGGTGAGGCCTTTGGGAGCCATGATAGTGTTTTGTTACTGTTTGCTGATTCTTGAGAAATTGGTTTTCTCTTTATAGATATCCTTCTAAATGCTTATCAGTACTTACAGGCACTCAGTAGATGTTCGAATGAATAGAAATGAGAGATTGAGTTTTAAGTTGGCTATTAACCATTTATGTACGACTGTAGGGCAAGTCATTAGCCACCCTTGGCTACTATTCCACTTTCTGTGCAATGAGGAATTGGACACAATGGTCTGTAAAGTCTCTTCCCATTATAATTTAACTCTTTACAAATTTATGGACACTTAATAATAATTTAGTGAATTAGTTAAAAATCCCTGTGACCACAAGGGATTCACTTAGCACATGTCGGGACAATAAATTGAGGTATAACTGATTGTGGTTGAGGGAGTTATCAAATCTGAATGAATAAGTACTTTCTTCATTTCTGAATTTATTGTTCAGTGCATTTGCTGAAGAAAACCCTACAGAGATGCGAAAAGAATGGGTGGATGGAACAGATCTCTGGTAAAGGATTCAGTGGCACCTTCCAGCTCTGTTTTCCCTATTACCCCAGGTAAGCACCTAGCCCATAATGTGAAGTATTGGTCATTGCAAATTTAAAATCTGACTCCAGATTACAGGTTTGGCTTAACTTATTTTGCCCTTATTATTGTTATACTGAACTGAATATACTTGAAAATAAAGACTACTTAAGGCAGTATTGTTTTAGAGCTGAAGGTTTTCATATAAGAACAGGGGGATTGGGGCTATCCTGCTGGAACTTACTGTTAGGCGCGTATTCCTGAAATCAAGCGTTGAATTTTCTTTGAGATTCTTGGCCAGTCATTTAGATGTTCATTCCTTCTAATAAAGAATAAAGTACATGGTAATGACGGGAAGATTATTAGAGGATTATATATGTTTTAATGGTCCAGCACCAAGTAGGGAGAGCACTGGCTACTTCTGAGATTCCTAATCTGCCTCTTCACACTGTAGAGACAGGGCTATTTATTTGAAAACTTGTCTCTTGTACATATTTATTCATTTAACCAAGAAAAATGTATTGAGCACCTCCTATGGACCAAGCATTTTTCTGTGTACCCATGCTTTCACCTTCTTACACTTTTCGTTTCTAATAAAGTGCCATGACATGTACCACTAAAACCTATTTCAGCAGTATAGTGTAGCTTTCTTACATTGTTCTTTGTGCATAAACATAAGTGTTACTTGATTGAATGTATATTATTTGAGTTTCTCAAATGTTTAAATATTCTTAAAATCATGCACATACAGTGTTATAATTTAAGGACTTATTAATCAGTGGGATCAAGTTTTCTACCATTAAGGACAAAGAAAATTTAGAATATCCTTGCTGAGTTTCTCAAAAACTTTGAAGAGATTCAGGCTTTATGACACTTTTGAGGTCTTTTGCCAGTATCGTAAAGGCAGAAAATATATACTGCTGTGTAGGCTGTTCACCGCTGTATAGACCATTCACTGCTATATATTCAGTGGCTGATAACAGTGCCAAACACATGTCAGGAGCTTAAATAATTGTTTACTAACTAAATGATGGAAGTATCAGTTTTATTAAATGGAGGGAGGACGGGAATGGGGTATGGTCTGGGACTTTTATAGATTTGTCATAACTTCATATGTTTGTTCAAAATAGGTTAAATTGTACCTGATATTTGTAACCTAACTTGACATAATTGGGGAGGGTGGGAGGAAGTGGGTTATGTCCAGGGAAGAGCATATCTAGGTTCACATTCTTTTCCTTGTCCTGATGGGACTTCTCTTTACCTTTTTTTTTCTTCCTAGCCCAGGAGTTCTGTTTCCAAAGAAAGAGCCAGATGATTCTAAAGATGAGGATGAACATGAAGATGAGTCATCAGAGGAGGACTCTGAGGATGAAGAGCCACCCCCTAAGAGAAGGTGGGGACGTGTGGAAAACCCTTCTTAGAGCTGAAAATGATAGCACTAGGAGAGACTGTGAAAAGTGTGTTAACAGTTCAGGATCCTTCTCAGATTCTTTGTGTAACATTTGAATTTGTCTTGTTCTTGAGCATTTAGAGGCTCTAAACTTGTGAAACACTGTGAATATGTAATAACTCTTTGGTCAAACCTGTGTGTGTGTGTCCATAGTTTGGTTATTTGAAGAAAAAGAATTCCATATTTTTCTAGGAAAAACATGGAATTATGTGTAGACTTCAGGAATTGGTTGAGTTTTTATACAATTTTAGTAAAGCCTTTAGGTAAAAAGTAATAACCCACGTTCCTCTTCTTAACCTAGGTGACTTCTACCTTTGCTATTTCTTTTTTGGCAAAGTATCTGGTCATCCTGGTGAAGTGAATCTCTCAAGTACTAAGTAATTGCCTTTGCTCTTTGTTTCTCACAGGTTGCAGAAGAAAACCCCAGCCAAGTCGCCAGGGAAGGCGGCATCCATGAAGCAGAGAGGGTCCAAGCCTGCACCTAAAGTCCCAGCTGCCCAGCGAGGGAAAGCTAGGCCCCTGCCCAAGAAAGCCCCTCCTAAGGCCAAAACTCCTGCCAAGAAAGCCAGACCCTCACCCCCAGTCATCAAAAAACCTAGTGGTAGCTCTTCAAAGAAGCCTGCAGCCAGTGTGAGAAAGGAAGTGAAATTGCCTGGCAAGGGCAAATCCACCATGAAGAAATCTTTCAAAGCAAAAAAGTAAATTTTATAGGAAAAAAGGGTATCATGATGAAATTCAAAATCTTATTTTCTAAGGTCAGTGTGCATTTGTTTTAGTTCGATGCTTTTAAAATTACATTTTTTTCCTCCCCTATGAACATTATGGGGAGGGAATATAAATAAACCAGTTTAGCCATTTGTTAGCTTTAGGTGCTCTTCTTGGTGCCTGCCCCTCCCCCCGCACCCTCCCTCCCAGTCATTTTAATTTCTGCGATAATTCTGGACTTCCCCGAACTGTATAATCTATACTTGTTCTTTTTTCTCCCCCCACCCCAAGCCTCTTTCTTTTTTTATGGTCAGCTTTGGCTTTTTTTTTTTTTTTTTTTTTTTCTTCCAGTTTTATCAGTTGCGAAGATTTTTATATTTGTTAGAAAGCATCAAGAATGGGATGCTAGTCAGGTGCTGGAAGTAAAAAGGAGGCAGTATAGCACTGACTGAATCATAACGCCTCCTGCCTGGAGACTTCAATTATAGCTATAATAACTAATCTTATTTATAAAACCACTCCACTAGCCCCTTCTCTCCAACTATAAACACAGAGATGTCTTGGCTTTGGAAATAGGCCAAAAACATTATGATCTCATTCAATTCTGAAGATGCACGACTCCTTTGGGCCCCTTTTCACATTGATCAATTTCTAGGTATTTTTCATTGACCCCTGGGCATTGCATTCCCTCAAAAGCAAGCACAAGATCTCTCCACCACTTGTTTTTTGACGGAAGGGGAAATAATAGGAACATAGTGAATTTGTGATTTCTGGCGTCACCTGTGTTACCAAAAATCAAAACATATAAAATCTTCTTGATCAAATGTTTAAATATATTTTTTAATATTTGGAGCATAAGTTGTCACTTCCTCTTTGCCTTTTTTATAAGGAAATATTGGAGAGTTATACCATTACTAATGTAGAATTGTTAAGTGGAAAAACATACAATTTGCTAAAATAAACTGTGGGTTTTCCCCCCCTTTCTTTCCATAGCACTTTTGATAACAAGCAAGTGGCTTCCTTTTTGAGTTACTTAAAAAGAGAAAAGAAAAAACAAATGAAGCCCGACTACCTAACCCTTTTTATTTGTATTTGTTTTAGTATTGTGAAGTTGTGTTAAATAGCACTAGCTTTCTAAGAAATATTGATTTCTGGTTATCATTTATCTTCCCTGTGGCACTTGACATTTTAATTGTCTTAAACTTTTTGGTGTACATCTTCTGGCCCCTTGAGTGCTGCCAGAGGCGAAAGATGTTTGTTTAATTCATTCCATTTGCATTGTCTCCTGGGATCCCATCTGCAGCCTGAAGTGTGGCTGGGAATTGGACTTGAGAAGATTGGCTTGAATTAGATCCATAATCAATGTGTGATCCCATCATGAGTTTATTGGAATTTGTGTTGCATGTAAGGCAATCTTTCCTGTTGTAAATCTTCCTTTTTTTATGTACATATATTTTGAAAAATATGAATAAACATGAAATTTTAAAAGCTGCTGAACTGTAGCTTATATTTAAAAGTTTCCAGTATCCTGGAAGTAGCCTTTCCTTATCCTCTGAAGTAGCCATAAGTGTTACACTTACTTTGAGTCTTTTCCACTCCACTCCTTGCATTAGCCACCATCCATTTTCTGTTTAAATACAAGCCCCAGTTTATTTGCTTTTTGAATTTTTATATGGATGGTAAATGTTTCTAACTACATTGAACCTGATTATTTAATGCATAAGAGATTTTTAAAAATTTTGTATTTTATTAAGGTCCTTGTTTTCAAGATCATAAATTCCAGTTTTTCATGATTAATGTCTACACATGTCCTTGGACTAGAAAAATACAGCACTGGAAAAGAATTGATAAACCCTAGAGACCTAATTCTAAAAGTAGTTCTAATTCTCTGTCATGTTGTTTAGCAGGTGATAATTCTTAAGAGTACAGCTGTTAGGAACCTGTGCTAAGAATACTCTTCTGGAATCAAAAGTGGGAGGATTTTGGTTGGTTTCTGTGTTTTATGATATTGTTTTATTTTAAAAAGAAGGCCTGAACAGTCACCTGGTGGCTATGTTGTATATCAGGTACTCCACCATAGAGTGAGACACTTAGATCATTTAAGGTCCCTTCCTACCCTGACACTCTGTTAAATTCACAGAATTCAGGTAAGGACAAAACTGTCCTTGCTTTCAGCATGGGAAAAGACAAGAGGGCCATTGCACTCTTGCAGGGAAAATCCCCAGCTTGTCAAAGACATGCACCTTCCTGACGTTGAGACAAAAAGATGTTTGGGTTATTTCCCTTCCAGCCATTCTCAAGGAGCAGAACACAATTTTTACTTCCATGTTACAGAAAGGAAAACAGCAAACGCAAAAGATAACTCAGCAATTATTCGTGTGGATCAGTGGCTTCAGTACTCTCTGTTAGTGGCTTTTAGTGAGCTCAGCTACAGTGTTTCATATGTCCTTAAACCACCTACAAACTGCCTTTGATAAATGAATCTCACAAAGTGCTGGGAGAGAGATTGTTGGCTTCTTAAAGCTCAAATGAGAAAGAAGAGATATACCATTGCAGGAAGGGTGGAGTCCTTTCCTTAGTAATGTGACAAAAGCATTCAACACCGAAATCTATCCTAACCATCCACGCAGATTTAACTAAAGGAGACCTGGTCCAGTCATGTCTGTTGTCTATAACTAACAGGAAAATTACTTGGAAACAAGAGCTAGGTAATATACTAATACCTTTGATGTTTTTTCCATTGTTGCTCTTTTATAAAATTTTGTCAGCCCCAGGATAGGCTTGCTAACCTATCCTTACACCTACTTTATTTTTTAATTTTTTTTTAAATTTATTTATTTTTGGCTGCTTTGGGTCTTCGTTGCTGTGCACGGGCTTTCTCTAGTTGTGGTGAGCAGGGGCTACTCTTCATTGTGTTGTGCGGGCTTCTCATTGCAGTGGCTTCTCGTTGCGGAGCATGGGCTCTAGGCGCACGGGCTTCAGTAGTTGTGGCATGTGGGCTCAGTAGTTGTGGCTCACGGGCTCTAGAGCATAGGCTCAGTAATTGTGGTGTACAGGCTTAGTTGCTCCGTGGCATGTGGGATCTTCCCGGACCAGGGATCGAACCCTTGTCCCCTGCATTGGCAGGCAGATTCTTAACCACCGTGCCACCAGGGAAGTCCCCTTATGCCTACTTTAAAGAACCTAAGAAGTTATTCTTGCTCGGGCCGAGATTCCCTTGCCATCCTGATGTGTCAGGAGAAAGAGGTTAAGCCAGCCTTACACGTGAACTGCTGTACTTAGCCAACTAAAACCTTAATCCAAAAATTTAGGATTATAGTTGAAGTTTCTCATCTTTGGAACCTGATAAATCACAGTTCTTTGGGTTAAGCAAAAGTTCTAATCTTATCCATGAAGAGAAAGTCTATTCTTAATTGGATAAAGACCATTATTAAACTGTTTCCCCCAGTCAGAGGTTCTGACTGACATTACTTTCCAGCGTGTAGAGTTGCTTTGCATTTTTGTTCTAAAACAGATGGTCACTCAGTTCTGCAGAGCTGAAGCTGAAGAGCTAGAACTGTTGAAGCTCTTGGCTTAGAAACTCCTTGATGAACACGTGCTTGGAAGCCAGGAGATGCTGAACGGCATCCCTCAGCTGTGCTGAGTTTTCCTTTTTTAAGAAACTAATCTCTACCATCTTTTTTTTTATTTTTATTTTTTTATTTATTTATGGCTGTGTTGGGTCTTTGTTTCTGTGCAAGGGCTTTCTCTAGTTGCGGCAAGCGGAGGCCGCTCCTCATCGCGGTGCGCGGGCCTCTCACTATCGCGGCCTCTCTTGTGGAGCACAGGCTTCAGATGCGCAGGCTCAGTAATTGTGGCTCACGGGGCTAGTTGCTCCGCGGCATGTGGGATCTTCCCAGACCAGGGCTCGAACCCGTGCTCCCTGCATTGGCAGGCAGATTCTGAACCACTGCGCCACCAGGGAAGCCCCTCTACCATCTTTATTACTGTATTCTTTCTATAATTTCCACAAGATTCTTAACTTTGAAGCCTGTTTTTTTTCTGTTGGAGTAATTTTCTACCTTTGTTTAAATTCATTAGCTTAGTTTTAACTGCTTCTAATTTGTTTTGTCAACAACAGGTATGTCAAAGGAGGTTTCTAAAGGTATGTTCCCAAGCTGTTTTCCTCAAAAATTGCAACTCGTGGGACTTCCATGGCGGTCCAGTCGTTAAGACTCCGCACTTCCACTACAAGGGTGCAGGTTCGATCCCTGGTCTGGGAACTAAGATCCCACATGCCCGCAGCTCAGCCCGCCCCCCCCCACACACACAAATTGCAACTCTTGATATTGTATGTAAATGTAGAATTTACACCATTTGCTGTTAAATCTTTGTTTATTAGAGAAGAGTTCTTTCTCTAGGGGGCCTTGAATATGTTTGACAAAGCGTAGTTATTAGTTTGACTTATTACTTAAATAATAATAGTGACAATAATAGCTAACACTAAATGAATTTTTTCTATGTGACAGGCTCTGTACATACATTAGCCTTGTTTAACCCTAGCAACCCTATGAAATGGTCATTGTTTATTATTCCCATTTTACAGGAGGGAAAACTCAGGCACAGAGTGAGGCTGAGAAACTTGCCTCGGGACACAGTAAGTGGCAAAGACAGAATTAAACCCAGGCACTCTGAATGCAGAGCCATCTCTAGCTGCTCTGCTCCATTGTCTCCCCTTGACAATTTTTCAGGCTTCTGAATTCTCCCTTTATCTTACAGCACAATGACTCTATGTTCTATTCATGGAAAAGAAAGGATTTAAGAGTGCAGAGGATTTGGAAATGAGATTAAATTATTAAATTTGCTAATTAGGAGTCAGTGTGACTTTTGTCTTAAGTTTGGTAAGAACTATTAAAATTAGATCTTGGATTACTGGAAAATGTTAGCTAGGCTGCCCTAAGGTAGTCTTTTGTTTGTTTTTCTTTTAGGACACTATGCAGGCACTTGATCGCTCTCAAATCCTAGCCGGGACACTTTCTGGTCCTCTCACAGTTTACTTACTCCAGGCAAATTCTTTGAGCTCACAGGATGCTGACAGTTGTGAGCACTTTCCCTCCAGGGGTCACAGCTTCTATCAGAACTTTATGTTGCTAACTGAGCAGCGCTCTTACCCTTTACAGACTGTAAACTTGCGTTCCATGAGGCCTACCATACAGACTGTAAACTTGCATTCCATGAGGCCTACCAAGAGAAATTCCAGAACGGGGATTGTCTGACAACTGAATTTTTTGTATATCATACCGGCTTAGTAATCATGAACTGGCATAATAGAAATCCTTGCCCTTGATCCTGAAAGAAACCTTAGTCATCCGGTCTCTCCTACCATCTCTGTCTGCTTTGTTTGCCCAATTCCAACAGATAATTCTTTTTCCTAAAACCCAGAGTTGCACAACATCCTTGCTCGTCCATTTTACTGTTTAAGAACTTTTACTCTGATGAAATTCTTCTCATGTCAAACCTAAATCCTTACGTTGTAACTTAAATTCGCTGGTATGTAGAATAAGACATTTTCACTAATTCCAAATTGAGATTGACTTCTGGTTAGAGTATATGACTCAGCCCAGCATACTAATAACATCTTTAGCTGTGATCTTGCACAGTGGTCTTTGGGGCCTGTATCACTTACCAGCTATGTGACCTTGGCTAAGACAATCTCCCTGAGCCTTGATTTCCTCATCTGTAAAATAAAGGGGTTCAAATCCACAGTTCTTGGGTTGTCCGTTGCAGAGCACAGGCTCCGGACGCGCAGGCTCAGCGGCCATGCCTCACGGGCCCAGCCGCTCCGCGGCATGTGGGATCCTCCCGGACCGGGGCACGAACCCGTGTCCCCTGCATCGGCAGGCGGACTCTCAACCACTGCGCCACCAGGGAAGACCCCTGCTCATCTTTTAACAAGTAAGCTCCTAGTGGTTTAAAAATCTGCTAACTGGAAGAAAAAAATTCTGTTAGGGCTTCCCTGGTGGCCTGCATTCTGTGCCCCTTTGGAACTAAGACTGAAACTTCAGGCAAGCCACAGAACCTTCTGGTTCTCAACTGGAAACGAGAGAGAGTCGAACTAGATTAGGTAACACTTCTCTGATCCTGTAACCTCCACACTTCCTGCCACCCGGAAAACACCAGAAAGAGAGAGGATCTGGCTGTAGAATGTTGTGGCCTGGTCTGCTTTGTGAATGAATGAAAAGGAATCTTATTTTAATCACTGTATTTGTCTCCTTGGCCCATAACAAAATACCACAGACCAGGGCGCTTGAATAACAGCAATTTATTTTCTCAGTTCTGGAGTCTAGAAGTCCAAGATAAAGGTGTCAGTAAGGTTAGCGCCTTCCGAGGGCGGAGGGAAGGATCTGCTCCCGGCCCCTCTCCTTGGCTTGTGGTTGGCTGTCTTCTCCCTGCAGGCACCTTATCTTCCTTCTGTGTGTCTGTGTCCAAATTTCCTCTTCTTATAAGCATACC